ATGTTGTTATAAGAGAAAACTTTATTCCTGAGTACTGAGAGGTTCACCCCTCATCGTGTGATGATTATTTCTGCTGGGGATCAGGTTAGGATTTGGAGCAGCTGGGAATATTACCCTGTTGTTGTCAGGCTAGCCTGATAAAATTGAAAAACCAATAATCCATTAAAAGCATAAGTTAAAAATGTGGAAAAATAACAAATTAGAGTAACTGATCAAACTTTACTCTGAAAACATAAACTTTATAATCTGCATTATTCTATCATTAATTATAAATAATCATTTATCATACAAACAACAATTAGCCAAAACACAGAGTGCTGTCCTAACATTACCAAACATGTCTATAACACCCAACTTATAGCATACGTATTCTGATCTAATAAAGAAACATAATTTATCTTTAAAATTTATGAAAGTTTTGTAAAAAACTGACAATGGATCATATTTCAAAAAAAACAACTTCAATTAATTAATCTAAAGAGATATGTAAACTACTGTTATGATGAAAGACTGAAACACATCATACCCACTTACTGAACACTTCTGTCTCAGAAATATACCACAGATGTATTGGGCCAATTTGCTGACCCTAACTATCTCTTCATTTCTTTCTGTAAGATACACCAAAAGCATCTCTGAATTACAAAATATTGGTCCTTATTAAACTGTATTAGAAGTTATCATTTACAACGTATTTTCTGCATTATTTCATAAATTTTGTTTCAACTGTTAACCATTTTATAAGTATGCAATGCAACTACTAATTTATTAGAGACAAAGAAACAAAACAGTAAAATGTGGACAGAGCATACATGCCATTAAGTAGTTAATAACTGTAGAAGTGTATACAAACTATATTTTGCACACACAGTTTGCTACATTAAAAAAAGGAAACTTACTTTTTCTTTCTTGTCCATGAATGGCGTCTCTTTCTCTGTAAAAAGAGTTATGTGGGTCAACATTCAGAACATTTGAAATTGCTGGTATACAAAACTTTTTACTGACTAGTTTGTATGTGATTGGCTGAATGAATATATATCTCAGATATGTATGTGTGTGTATATATATGTATATAAATTAGACTTTTAGAGAAAAATCCCCTTTAACCCTTTTGAGATGGGTCACAGGTGAAAGACCATGTCATCTCATTTGTAGACTTGCATTGAAAATTTTATTGAATTACTATTTCATGAATTTATGCCATTAAATTTGCTATCAAACTGTAGATTATAATACAAGTTTTAGAACTATACATTACTCAATTTGTTAATTTAAAAGTAAATAATAAAAAACAGATAAACATCGATTTTTGTGTGTCATGTGGTATGTTGAATGCAGCATTGACTCAAATTAAATGTTTGTGAAGTCAATATAATAAGTCTATAGTTTCATACGAATTAGAAACCTAAATTACAGATATTGACAAGCTAGAATATAAAATACGGTCTCATCTTTTCTACTTGCAAAGATATTGCTCACAAAATAAATCAAACACAATGGCACCCCGCTAACCTCTTTCCACATTTGCAAACGCTCTCTTATATACACTTACTTCTACATATGACATGAATAACCAATAGGAAGATCAGAATGTCCCTTGTGGTTTTCTCAGCCTTTCTAACATACATAGTGCCAATTCTTTCTTTTGAACAAAGATTTCAATGAGGTAGGTTGTGTCTTTAGACTGCTTGAAATTTCATATGTTTTTAGATTAAAATACATTTCAGTTACTTGATAAATTACAGTGGAATTCTATGGTACTGATGTAGTAATTTATGATTTTTTAATCATTCAAATGTATATATAAAATCTAAAAAACAAAAACATTTTGTTTCATATCCTCCACGTGCAAAATTTTTAAAGGCTTGGCAACCTATGTCAAGTAGCAACCGAGTACAAAGGTCATAACTAGAAGAGATAATTGTTTGCTTTACCTATTTATTTACTGTTCTTTGTTTTAGGAAAAATAACTTTAAGAACTTATTTCAAAATAGCTATATTCTATATACATATATAATGTATAATAATTGAAATGTGACTGTACTTTACAAAATACTAGTCAACTAAAACACAGCTAAGACAAATTACTTTGTACAGACCAAAGGTCACCTTTATGTTATTTAATACAGAAACATGAGTGAACGTGAGCCGCATCATTGTAATTTTTGTATTATTAGCCAGGCACGGTTGAAAGGTCA